CAGATCTGGACCAAGCAGACCTAATAGACATCTACAGAACTCTCCACCCCAAATCCACAGACTATACATTCTTCTCAGCACCACATGGCACCTACTCTAAAACTGACCACATAATTGGAAGTAAAGCACTCCTCAGCAAATGCTAAAGAATGGAAATCATAAGAAACAGTCTCTCAGACCACAGTACAATCAAATTAGAATGTAGGATTAAGAAACTAACTCAAAACCACACAACCTCATGGAAACTGAACAACCTGCTCCTGAATGCCAACTGGAAAAACAGTAAAATGAAGGCAGAAATAAAGATGTTCTTTGAAACCAAACAGAACGAAGACACAACGTACCAGAATCTCTGGGACACATTTAAAGCAATAAATGCCCATATGAGAAGCAATGAAAGATCTAAAATCAACACCCTATCGTCAAAATTGAAAGAGCTTGATGAGCAAGATCAAAAAAACTCAAAAGCTTGCAGAAGACAAGAAATAACTAAGATTAGAGCAGAATTGAAGGAGATACAGACCAATAAATCCTTCAAAAAAAATCGATAAATCCAGGAGCTGGTTTTGTTTTAAAAGAACAACAGAATAGACTGACCACTAGCCAGATTAATAAAAAAGAAAAGAGAGAAGAATGAAACAGATGCAATAAAAAATGGTAAAGGGATTATCACCACTGATTCCACAGAAATACAAACTACAGTCAGAGATTACTGCAGACAACTCTATGCACGTAAACCAGTAAACCTGGAAGAAATGGATAAATTCCTGGACACCTGGACCCTCCCAAGCCTGAACCAGGAAGAAGTTGAAACCTTGAACAGACCAGTAACAAAGGATGAAGTTGAGGCAGCAATTAATAGCCTATGAACCAAAAAAATCCAGGTCCAGATGGGATCACAGCTGAATTCTACTAGACATACAAAGAGGAACTGGTACCATTCTTTCTGAAACTATTCCAAACAATACAAAAAGAGTGAATCCTTCCCAAATCATTTTATGACACCAAGATCATTCTGATAACAAAACCTGGCAGACACTTAACAAAAAAAAGAAAACTTCAGGCCATATCCATAATGAACATAGATCAAAAATCTTCAATAAAATACTGGCAAACCGATTGCAACAGCACATCAAAAAGCTGATCCATCATGATCAAGTAGGCTTCATTCCAGGGATGCTTCAAGGTTGGTTCAGCATACACAAGTCTGTAAATGTAATCCACCACATAAACAGAATGAAAGACAAAAACCACGTGATTATCTCAATAGATGCAGAGAAGGCTGTTGATAAAATTCAACAGCGCTTTATGCTAAAAACTCTCAATAAACTAGGTATCAAAGGAACATATCTCAAAACAACAAAAGCTATTTACAACAAACCTACAGCCAATATCATACAGAATGGGCAAAAACTGGAAGCATTCCCTTTGAAATCTGGCACTAGACAAGGATGCCCTCTCTCACCACGCCTATTCAATATAGTATTGAAAGTTCTAGCCAGAGCTATTAGGCAAGAAAAAAAAAAGGTATTCTGTTAGGAAAGGAGGAATTCAAACTGTCTCCATTTGCAGACGATGTAATTGTATATTTAGAACACACTATCATCTCAGCCCGAAATCCCCTTAAACTGATGAGCAACTTCAGCAAAGTCTCAGGATACGAAATCAATGTGCAGAACTCACAAGCATTTCTATACATCAATAACAGACTAACAGAGAGCGAAATCATGAGCGAACTCCCACTCAAAATTTCTACAAAGAGAATAAAATACCTAGGAATACAACTAACACAGGATGTAAAGGACCTCTTCAAAGAGAACTACAAACCACTGCTCAAGGAAATAAGAGAGGACACAAACAAGTGGAGAAACATTCCATGCTCATGTTTAGGAAGAATCAAAATCATGAAAATGGCCATAATGCCCAAAGTAATTTATAGATTCAATGCTATCCCCATCAAGCTACCAATGACTTTCTTCACAGAACTGGAAAAAAACCACCTTAAACATTATATGGAACCAAAAGAGAGCCTGTGTAGCCAAGACAATCCTAGGCAAAAAGAACAAAGTAGGAGGCATCACACTACCTAACTTCAAACTATAATACAACACTACAGTAATCAAAACAGCATGGTACTGGTACCAAAACAGAGATATAGACCAATGGAACAGAACAGAGTCCTTGGAGGCAATGCCACACATCTACAACCATCTGATCTTTAACAAACTTGACAAAAACAAGCAATGGGGAAAGGATTCCCAGTTTAATAAATGGTGTTGGGAAAACTGGCTAGCCATGTGCAGAAAGCAGAAACTGGACCCCTTCCTGACACCTTACACTAAAATTAACTCCAGATAGATTAAAGACTTAAATGGAAGACCTAACACCATAAAAAAACTTAGAAGAAAACCTAGGCAAAACCATTGAGGACTTAGGCATAGGCATGGACTTCATGACTAAAACACCAAAAGCATTGGCAACAAAAGCCAAAATAGACAAATGGGATCTAATTAAACTACAGAGCTTCTGTACAGCCAAAGAAACTATCATTAGAGTGAACTGGCAACCGACCAGAATGGGAAACAATTTTTGCAATCTACCTGTTAAAAAAGGTCTGATATCCAGAATCTACAATGAACTAAAACAGATTTACAGGAAAAAAACAAACAAACCCATCCAAAAGTGGACGAAGGATATGAACAGACACTTTTCAAAAGAAGACATATATGAGGCCAACAAACATATGAAAAAGTGTTCATCATCACTGATTATTAGAGAAATGCGAATCACAACTACATTTAGATACCACCTCATGCCAACTAGAATGACGGTCATTAAAAAATCTGGAAACAACAGAATCTGGAGAGGATATGGACAAACAGGAACACTTTTACACTGTTTGTGGGAGTATAAACTAGTTCAACCATTGTGGAAGACAGTGTGGTGCTTCCTCAAGGACCTAGAAATAGAAATTCCATTTGACCCAGCAATCCCATTACTGGGTACATACCCAAAAGTTTGTAAATCATTATAAAAATACATGCATATGTATGTTCATAGAGGCACTGTTTACATTAGCAAAGTCCTGGAACCAACCCAAATGCCCATCGACAATAGACTGGACAAAGAAAATGTGGCACATATACACCATGGAATACTATACAGCCATAAAAAGCAATGAGTTCGTGTCCTTTGTAGGGACATGAATGAATTTGGAAACCAGCATTCTCAGCAAACTGACACGAGAACAGAAAATCAATACCACATGTTCTCACTCATAGGCAGGTGTTGAACAATGAGAACACATGGACACAGGGAGAGGAGCATCACACACTGGGGTCTGTTGCAGGGGGCCAAGGCAGGGAGAGCAAGGGTGTGGGGAGGTCATGGAGGGATAACCTGGGGAGAAATGCCAGATATAGGTGATAGGGAATGGAAGCAGCAAACCACATTGCCATGTGTGTACCCATGCAACAATCCTCCATGATCTGCACATGTACCCCAGAACCTAAACCACAATTGAAAAAAAAAGATCCTGGTGAATGTCCTGTACCAAAATTTAAGATACCTATTTATAGGAGGAGAAGAACATTGGGCTCTTAATCAATACCTCATTTCTGTAAGAAACACCACTGGAAAATGTCAACATTTGACACTTTTCTTCCTTTTGATAAAATCTTATGTCATATTTAAAAGCTTCTGCTTTCAATAAATGATATTTGACTTTTCCTCAAAAAAAAAATTGTCTGTACTATTTTTCCCAGATCTTTTTTAAACATTTCCCACTAGGGTAGTATAATTGTTACAACTGATGAGCCTATATTGACACATTATAATCACCCAAAGTTTATAGTTTACACTAAGGTTAACTCTTAATGTTGTATATTTTATGTGTTTGAATCAAAGTATAATGACATGTACCAGAAATTGTAGTTATCATACAGAGTAGTTTCACTTTCCTAAAAATCATCTGTGCTCTGCCTATTACTCCTCAGTCCCCACTAAACTCTTCACAACCACGAAACTTTTTACTGACTCCATAGTGTTGCCCTTTCCAGGATGTCATATAGCTGGAATTATAGTGTATGAAAGCTTTCCAGATTGGCTTCTTTAATCTAGTAATAGGCATTTAAGTTTCCCTCATGTCTTTTCATGCTTTGATAGCTCATTTTTTTTTAACACTGAATAGTATTCCCTTGTCTTTGGATGACATGAATGTGTCACAGTTTATCCATTCACCTACTGAAGGACACGCTGGGTGCTTCTAAGTTTTGATACTTTTAAATAAAGCTGTTATAAATATTCACATTTTTGTATGGACATATATTTTCAACTACTTTGGGTAAAGAGCCAGGGGCAGGATTGCGGAATCATATGCTAGGAGTATGTTTAGATTCATAAGACGTTACCAAATAGTCTTCTGCAGTGGCTGTACTATTTTGTATTTCCATTAGCAATGAGTAGGAGTTCCTGTTGCTGCACATTCTTGTCAGTAGTTGGTGTTTTCAGTGGTCTGGGTTTTGGACACTCTATACAAGCCTTTTCAACTAAGTCTTTAGAAGGCTTTATTGATTAATGTTTAGAGTTATATTTTCTTAATTATTTCAAAATATTATAATAGCTATATTTCCTTTCAATTGATACTAATTAAAAATACTTCATATTGTTAAAATTTATGGAAATTTACAATAAAGTTAATAACAATGCAGATTGTTTTTAAAAATAAGATGCAGTGCTATTTCTGCTATAGCTGATAAGTAACCATGGCAGGTTTCCAGACATCTATTAGAATTTCCAAGGAAATGTTACCATAGCAACCCTAAAAGCATATTATATGGTTTTAGACCATTAATATTCACTGATATTTCTTTAAATATAGATACATATGTAAATATATCAACTCATAATTAAACACACTGATTCATAATAAATTAGTTTGTAGCATTTACAACATTGCTGCTTTTTAAAATAAATATAATACACTGATCAAAATCCTTTTTTTTTTAATGGAATACTTCACAAATTTGCATGTCCTCCTTGCACAGGGACCATGCTGATCTTCTCTGTATCATTCCATTTTTAGTATATGCGCCGCTGAAGTGAGCATTGGTCCAAAATATTTTGATCGTTTTAACTGCAGGAAGAAGTATCTAGAAAGCCAGCTGTGAGACGGATAATTATTGGTCAAATTAATTTATGTACACGGATTCAATATTCCCAAATAAATGTCCTCAAATTCACCTCAGGTATTCTCTAAAAGGAGACCCTAACTAGAAGTATGATTTGATCTTGAAACTTAAGATTAATCACCATTAGAAAAAGAAAAACCAGAAAATAAACAAAGTTAAAATCAATAAAAATTATGTAAATCTATACTTACTAATGTTGTCAGTATACTCTCAGTGAAAAAAAGCAGCCTGGAAAGGCGGAGTATGATCTCATTTAGTCAAATCATACAAAGGGAAAACAGATGAAAAACATATTTACTCAAATATTAACAGTGGTTATCTCTGAGTCGTGAGATTTAGGGTGATTTTTACTTTCTTATTTTATAATTTCTATATTGCTTAATTTTAGTTGCAACAAACATGTATGTGTCTTTCAAAAAATAAAGCTATTAAAAAATTAAAAAAAGAAAGTGTTATCTATGTAATCCACTACATTAATTAAAAGAAAGAACATGTGGTAAGCGCCATAGATATTGCAAACTATTAACAAATCCAAACGTGTCGTCTTGATAGCAAGTGCACTAAGAAACAAAAACTGCAAGTAAAGTGCCTCAATTGTGAGAAAAAGTATCTAGCATAAATTTACATCAAATTATATATTTTATATATAAAATTGCAACATATCATTTTAGTATATAATTATATATAAATACAAATATAAAATTTTATATTGTATTCTATTTATAACGTTATATAAAAACTCCACTTATCATACTACTTCCACGTCAGATATTGAAAGAAGCTCTGGAAAGGCCAGGAAAGAGATCAAATGGGAATCCTTTATATGAGAACAGTGGACCCAATTCCGGCCTCTCAACCATTAATGGGAAACAAGAGTTCCAAAAAGTACAGACACAGGCAAAGAAGCAAAGGCAATACCTTAATTCTAAGCATCCTTTTCCTTAACAAAGAGGAGTTGAAAGGTGGCTGGCTTCATCCTGGAAAGCTATTAATTGAACAAAGGGCGTTCAGGAGGTTTAAAATTGCATACTTGACAATTGAGACTGTCTCTCAGCCATTTTTCTTGTCAATGACGGCCCCCAATCGTCCACTCCCACGTTGTCGTCAGGATTGTTAGCCTGAGACTTGCGTCCTGCCACTCCCACGTTTCAAAATCACTGAGACTTGCCCACTGTCTACCTCATGAAGTCTCCACTGCTCTTGACATGGTGAGGAGTCCAGCTGCTAGTGAGAAACTTCAGGTAACTTTCCAGGCCCAGTCTGAAATGATGATAAACCATTCACCTGGGAGGCGGCTGTCCCCACAGCAGACACGGTGCACGGAGCACTGCAGTCTCTGAAGGGAGCAGCTGGCAGTGACTCTGGCTCCCCCTGGCCATCATGCCCTTTGCATCTCTGCATGTCTATTCCCAGCAGGGTACCTCCATTCCTGGGTCTTTTCATCTGAGTCCGCCTGGGCTGAGGTCCTTCTCAGGTACCTCTGCCTAAGCCTCCCTGGAGACATGGCGGGCTGGGCAGGGGAGGCTGGGGAGACTCTGACTCAATGCGCAGTTCATGTCCATATTTAGTCCTTCTCCCTCATCCTCTCCGCTACTTCAAGGTCCATAAAACTGCTGAGCTTTTGCTTGTGACTCCCTCAATAGTGAGATGATGCTCACATCTGATCTGACCTGTGCATTGTTTTATAGGGCAAAATGCAACAGACGGTCCATGCTTTCTCGGATTTCAGCCTCTTGCCTATCCCATCATAACAGAGAAAAGCCTTATCTTCTTGTACATTTTTGGTTTCTTGCTTTAATTGGCTTCTCAGACAGCTCAGCATTCAGCCTTCTCATTCTCAGTTTGTCTGAACTCCCGTCCTGTGACACTCAGGCCCTTGCTATAGTTTGCTGAAATGTGTCTTCAGGGCCGCTTCTCACCACAGCTTTCCAAGCAACCCTGTACTTGCATCAAACTTGACATTCGTCCTTTTATTTACTCTGATTTTGAGCAATTCTTTGTCAAGAACGCTCCCCCTCACCTTGACAATGAATAATAGAAAAAAACTCACTAACATAGACATGACTTTCACTCAAAGATCTCCTCATCTTACTTATGCAGTTCATCTCTCTGTTCCCCAAATCTTGTAAGAGTTTTACCACAGTTTTGTGCATACAAAACTATACTGCAAATTATATGTCTACATTTTTTTCCTTTTTGATAACAGTCGAGCTTGTGGAAATCCAGAACTGTATGTCATTTTAATCTATATCCCTAGTCCCTAACGTAGGGCTTAGCTCACAAAAGATGCTTCATTAAAAGCCTGGATCCCTGGAGAAGATTCTGAGATTTCAGCATAAAAGTGAATTCAACGTTTTGTTTAATAATATGTTAAATAAAAACAGCATATAAAGGAGGAACACTTGATTTTGACAATTTAAAACATTTGTGTGAAACATCTGAAATTGAATTTAGTTTTGCTCAAAATTGCTATGTAAAATTATAATTTTAACATTCTTATGAATGTATATAATTAAAAAGCTACACAAAGAAAAATTCTACATGCCCTATAGAATGTCTGTAACGTATACGACATTCAATGGTAAGTGAATAAATGTTTGAGCTTTGCACATTGATGTTATGAATATTGCTATTCACAACATTTGATCTTTGAAACAATAATGCTTTTATTATTTCATGCATCGAATAATTAAAATTGTTACTTTTTTCTTAAAAATAAACTTTTAGTTTCATGTAAAGCCAAGAATTATGTTAATAGAAATGTAATCAGCTACACTTTACATTATATTTTTAAATAGAAGAAATATAAACAGGTTTTTTAAAATTCCTCCACAAAGAACGATTTTCACTCTCCCTGTATGTCAATCCCTATCCCTTTGGTTCTTGGTCCCAAGCTCCATGATTTTTTTTCTTTCATTTTAATATTTCCATGAATTCTAAATCTTTACCCTTTTTTCTCTCTACTTATTCTGCTGTTTTGAGTTTTTCCCCCTTTTGTGCTCAATATATAGTCACTTTATGGAAAGTCACATGTGGTCATAGAAAGTGATATTTTGATGTAAAAATGCTTATGTTATTGCAAAGGCTTTTTAAGGCAGCCTGATAACACATTTCCTGCCGCAATCTGAAATATTTTCTCTTTCACATTTGCCACTGCATGTGACTCCAACATTTATTCTTTCACTGAGCTAATATTTACTCACCACTCAGTGTGAAGAAAGAGTGTTGTTTAAAAAAACAAAAACAAAATACTGTTCAAAAGTTTCAAGTTTCAGAATTTAAATCAATGTCTGAAAATATTTGCCATAACCATAATGAGCGGTCACCTCAAGGTCTCACCAAATATTAATCACCTACCAGGTCCCAGACCATGAACTGAATGCAGCAGTGAACAGAGTGAACAGGGGCTCTACAGGTTGAGAGAACAGTGTCAGCTGGTGGGATGCTTCTCCTCTCATAAATATTTATAACTCCTCTTACAGCTTATTTTGTGTGTATATATATATATATTCAGCTTCTCTGTTCAGCAGAAATTCCTATATTATTCTTCCCACCCTACAAGTGCCTGTTTCCCACTTCTGTTCTGATGGCCGCCCTGCAGGCTGCAACCGTTTATGAGAAATAAAGCTCTTTTCCAAATTTATGAACCTCATCATTCTTCAGTTGACAGGAGGCAAGGTAAATAAGAAATATATGCTGTACCAGACATTGATGTTTTCTACAAACAAAAAGTGAAACAGAGAGAGAGAAAGAAACTATATTCATGGGGATATATTATTTCAGGTGGAGATAGCCAGGGAAGGCATCCCTGAAGTGATACTTTAAAACTTGAAGGAAAGGAGAGAATTGAGACATGTGGCTCTTGGGGAGAAGCACATCCCAGGCAGCTGAAGGGGCAAAGAGCAAATTTCCCACAGTGTGATCAGGCTTGGCATGGATGAAGACACAGTAAGGAGACCAACCAGGAGGAGGATAGCAGGAGAGGAGCAGGGTAGAGAGGAGGGGCCAATTTTACCCTAAGTGACGTGCATACTCTTGGCAGAGTTTCGAGCAGAAATGACACCCCCTTCCTTGAAAGGATTAGTTTAGCAACCGTGTCGCACATAGTCTAAGAAGGAACTGGGAGGAAGTGGGGAGAACAAGAGGCTATTACAATATGCATACAGGCAAAAAAAAATGATAGCGGTTTAGACTAAGGTTTAAGATGGGAAAATACTGAGAAAGGGTTCTATTTTATTATTATAGGTAGGCAGCATGAATAATAAAGAAAACCCAAAAATCCACTTTTGCCAGCACTGACACAGTTCAAGAAATAGCCATGATTTCCATGTCAGCTTTCATGAGTACATAGTCTAAAATATTTGCCACCTCATTCAGAAATGGTATCGGAGGAGTTAGTCTGCAGTTGCTGAAATGATAAAGGCTCTCCTTCCGTGTTTGTTTCACTACCAGATACAAATGCAAAGTTGACTCATGACAAGATTTGTTTGCGTTCCAAAGTCATGAGCAAGGAAGTTACCCCAGCATCGTAGAAATACCTTTGTCGTAGATCACAGGCTGTGCAGTGCAGGGAGTCTAGGCTCCTCATTTATCAGATGCATGACTTTAGGAAACTTACATAACATGTCCTTTAAGATGGAGGGGGGTACTATGACCCACAGCATTTGACTAGTGGTATTCATTTTAAAGTTACTATTATAGCAATGTCTAGCATATGGAAACAGCTTTTAATATTTTAATGTTAGCAATTTATCTTTCCTGAGACTAAAGAGAAAAGGACTCTCCCATTATTCAATTCATTATTTTCTTCCAGAATTCAGCCTACACTAGACCTCAGGATGATGGTGCAGTCTTTAAAAAAGAAGTTGAATTAGCAAAGAAGGAATATAGGATTCGAAGTCAGACACTGCTTGAAC